ATTCCATTCAGAAGCTAGATTGATTTCCTTCTTAACATGGTTTTTGTCTTCAAACGGTCAGCATCCATTTGAATCGGTTACAGTGAAATTCCAAAAAAATATATATGTAGGAAATTTCTTTTCTGAAATGTACTCTTTAACTTTTTCTTCGGTCACTAAGCTGTGCATAATTATAGTATAACATAGAAAAGCGCGATTGCTTCAATACATTTTCCTACATTTTATTATATTTTTTACATTGCAATGACCAAACCTTCCGCGCAAAATATTTTTTAAAAATCTTTCGGTGAATCGTGCTAATACCATTCATTTCATCGAAATCTGTGCATATGCAACAGTTTGTAAGTTACAATATGTGGTAAAAGTTTATTATTTGTTTAGGAATTCTAGGTACTAAAATTCGGATATAACTATGGTAGAAGAATACATGTAGTCGCTTCGATAAAGCTACTGGGGCAATGAACTGTCAAACCGATTATGGAATTGAAAATGTTGAATGAAAAATTATTGAAATTTGTAAAAATTGTCGAGAAATGCATATTATAACAATCTCCGATTTGCATTGTTTTAAAGGAACTACGCCAATAACAAAAAAGCATTTCATAACACTTTCCTATACACCAATCTTTAATATCGAAAGAAACATTTGAGCCCGGTAGCAAGTTTTTGCACAAATTTTTAAAAATATCTATACTATTTAGCAGAAGCTGATTAATGCGTGTGTAATGACGGTATATTTTATGTCAATATACAATATGTAAGAGTTAACAGAAATAAGGATTACTACAGTCAAACATGTTAATAACGAACGCTGTATATGCGAAAAACTCATTTGTTATATATTTATACCCTACACCACATAGTTGTTAGGGTATTATGTCTTTGTGCATTTGTTTGTAACATTCAGAAGGAAATGAAATAGGCCCAGGATCTTCATAAAGGATCTTCGATTTATGCATGTCATTCCGTCTGTCCGTCCGTCCATCCGTTTTTGTGAACAAAATGCAGGACACATTTATTATCCGATTGAAAATTTGCAAACAATATTTGTTTGACCCAAAAACGAACTCTATTGAATTTGGTGATAATCGGATCAGATTTATATATAGCTCCCATATAACTTCAACCGAATTCAGGTTGATTGTGCACCACATGGCAAATATAAGTCCAAATGACCTGTATTTCGGCACGAATTCAGTCTATAGCTCATACATATGATTCATCTGATTTGGTGTTTAAGTCCCCACATTCGTAATATGCATTCAATAACAATGATATTTGGTATCAGATACAGCCCATATATTCTCTGACAAATTTTCTCAAGATCGGTTCAGATTTGGATATAGGTCCCATATATATCTTCAAACGATTTCAGGTTAATTGTGCACCAAATAGCCAATATCAGTCCAAGAGTCCTGAATTTCGGTACCTCCAATCGAATTCAGTCTAGAAGCAAGTATATCGAATTCGGAAAAGAACGGTTCAGATAGCTATAGCTTCCATATATATGTTTCTTCCGATTTGGTGTTTAAGTCCATCACATATAATAATGGCTAAAATCAGCCCAAATGGGCTGATATACGTTTTCATTTTGTGCAACTCGGCTCCGATATATATTTTTTAAATATAATCCTTCTCCAAGTTATATCATGCACTCTATAGCAAACTATAACTGCTCTGAAGCCAAATGTTGACAGGTGAAATAAATTATTTTGTTACGGGAGCTCTACTAAATTATTTTGTTACGGGAGCTCTACTACATAGTGGTCGGCACTGTCCGACTTTTGACTCTTTCTTACTGGTTCTTACTATATACGAAAACTCCATTATGACAAACTAAATAAAATCTGCGAAGAGGTTTTTTAATGTATTATATACATCTCCAGAAAATATTAAAAACTTTTCAATTTTCTGCAAGGAGAAACCTGAACTTCTAAAGAATTATTGTAAATACGCCTAATTTAGTAAAAGTTTAGAAAACTAAATTATTGGGTTAACATCCTTTACATAACGTATATGTAATGGAATTGTCAATTGAATTCACTATATCCGGTAAACTGTAAAAGTAATATTAGGTCATAAAATATGCTGCGGTTTTTCGTAGTTACAAACGAAAACTCTATTTTTAAATAGAAAGTATTCACTGTTTTCATTTGCTTGGATATCATTAAAATCATATAAATTTCACTTTATTTCTCTTCTAAGTTTCAATTTTTTCAATTTTTTTTTGTGCAATGGAACAGCGACATATTCATAGGCTATGGAAATAACTTTTATTTGGAAGCGCAGAAAGTAGGAAATATTATTTCTTTCCCTAGTCAATCGCACACACACGCGAAGAATTTTTGCCAAGGGATCTAATATGTGTTTTTTTGTAGTGATTTTCTATTTTAGTTTTCGAAAAATTTCCGAGTAATCTGCACATGATCTGACGACAACTTTCGTTCTGTTTGTCATATTAAAGAACAGATGTCAGCAGAGAGCTAATTTTCTATACACAAACTCTTTTCGTTGCTGTTGTAATTTTTTAATGTTTAGGTCTTCCTAAAGTCGTAAGATGCGCTCTAAAGCAATGATAGAAGTCGCATATCGATTAAGATATAACTCTGAAGTCATAATACGCAATTCATATAAAATTGCCAATATAAACGTTTATTTGTTACGGGTCACTCTACTAAATGTTCATAGTGGTATTTCATAAAGTCGGAACCGCTAGACATTTGTCTTTTCACAGATTAACTAATAAATGTAAGATCAACCATTCTAATCTTGTTAATACCACTTGATTTTGTCCTATAGAAACCATTCCGATTTCTTGTTCTGAATTTCAAATCAATATTCGACAATTTTCCGAGTTTCTGAAAAGTATTCCCAGGTTTTCCTATATAGATTTTTTCCAATATAATCCAAAAAGAATCCTTCCGAATCTCGAAATTTTTATTTTGCAACGAACGAACTTGTATCTGCAAGGTTCAAAGAAAACCTATAGTTTTGCAATTTATCAACAATTCGAGCGTTAATAACAATCTACTTTTGTGGGAGATTATCATCAAGTGCAGCCAGATTTGAACGTGCTTTCTGCAATCGCCACTCATTTGTTGGTCTATTTATCTATTTCGGAAAAATAGAGGAAAACAACTCGAAAAGTCGAATGGGCTAGGTAACTAATTTCTAACAAGTAATATGTAGACAGAAACAAGTGAAAATCTCATTGACTTCAGTCAAACACTCAACGAAAGCTGACATCCTTCCCGTTAAAGTAAATTGTTTGTAGGTTTTTTTAGCGTTGAATAAGTCTTTTCCGCACTGATATTGTGTGCTGGTATTACCAGTATTTATGTAACTATTTTCTAAAGCGGCGCAAATTTTTTAAAATTTGTTAGATTGGTCGGAATCCAGTAAACCATTTCCATTTCTCTTTAAAAACGTGCTGCAGTGTATCGGATTGATGTAGTCTTTTGAACCCATTCTTCTAAGAGGCACACTAAGGATGACACATAAATAAAGTGTTGAATAAACATATGTATGTCCAATAAAGTTTTTTTATCGAATAGTTTGAATCGGTAGTATTTTCTAAATTTTCAAAAGCGCCCTATTTATTTGCTTGGAATGAAATAATCACTTTTTCCAATATTTTATGTCATATCATATTTTATGCACACAATCCTTACTTATATACCACAAAAAATTCTTTCTGTCATTCGTCGTTCAGTTATAGCAATCATATAATTCCACTACCTGACACTCATCATTTTCATTTTTCTGCCTCTTCCGAACGAATGAGTCCTAATATTTAGATTTGTGTAATCTTTTCCGTCAATAATTGTATAAATTGACACACCACGACCATTTCAGCGGGCGCCCAGCTAGCATTTGGAAGATTGTTTTTGAAAAAATCACTTTGGTGAGTCTTCTTCGAGTCTTTTGGTGACCAAAAAATGATTAACTGAATTGTATGATCGAAAAGCGATTCGAAAATGACTCTCTCTAATGAGTGAAAAGAGATCAATTTAATATACAACAACAAAATGTAGGGTAATCGCAATTCAATCATTGAGATGTGCAAAATGTGACTATTTTTCCGTTATTTATTATCGTACTGCGATCATCTACAGATTGAAATATGATTAGTCTCAAAAAGATCTTCCAGCTGTTTGAAAAGTGATCTAAATTATATATTTTTTGATCATATTGAAAAGGGAAAAAATATGAAAAAGTGTACGTTTATCTCTTTGTTTATTAAAAATTTTATAAAGAAAATGTCAGCAAGTTAATATACAAAAATAGAAAAGACTAAAATAAAAACGATGGCAAAAGATGCAGAAAATTGAATTTTGCAAAAAATAAGTAAAACTGAATATGAGAAAAATTAAGAAAATGTCCAGAAACGTGAATTGGTGAAGAAAAATGAGACAGAACTTGATTTGTAAGTATAAAAAATTGGATATTTGATTGATTAATTCACCACTTGATAAACTATTAATACTTATATAATTTTTGATAATCTATTTCCATAAAGAGTTTATTGCAAAAACCAAAAGGTTTTTTCAGATAAATTAGCCTGCCAATACAGCTGGAAGGGGACAGTGTAAATCTGAGTGCAGAAAAGTGTTATTTAGTTACCATAATCAAAAGTAAGTTTGTCTTTTTAACACGTATATAAAGAAGTACACAGAGAAAAAAATTAACCTTATACAAGGTTAGCTTAACCATAAATAAACATGATTTGGAGTCTACGTTATGTAAGGTTAATTTAAACATTTTCTTGCTGACTGGTATTTAAAAATAATCATCGTTAATTTAGCTATTCCATGATTGACTTTTTTAACCACGAAAATTGTTGATATTGAAAAAAAATTGTTGTTTTAACAATGCACTGTTAAATTTTTGTAACCATGAGAATTGTTAATAATAACATTTCATAGTCAGTTTGTCTAAACAGTTCATATGATAATTTTTAATAATAAATTAACCTTTGTTTGAATAAAACAAGAAAAATGTAATTTTTACAAGTTTATTTATTATTTATTTATTAATACCGCATATTTCTAAAATATGTATTTCCATTACAAATTGTATGTATATTTAAGGGAGGGCTGGTAAAGAAAGATATATGTTTAATATAAATTTTATTTTTTAACGCCTTACCGAGTGATTTTAAATTATATTCCTCAGCCATTGTGAAAAAAAACTACAAAACGCCAAACACCGACTGCAAAAACAGAAGAAGAAACTAGTAGTTAATAAAAGAAAATAGTATTGTCACAACCAGTGTTGCCGTTTGAAATTTTTATTTCAGCCCAAATTTTTTCTAAAAACCGCCCAAAATCGATCATATCCGCCCAAACTGTAAAAAGTTGAATAATTTATATGTAGTTTGTATTCAAGTAAGAAAATGACAATTTTACACTATACATAAAAAAGGTACTCAAGTTTTATTATATTCAATGTATTAAATTCTTTAGAGAAAATAAAAATGTTATGTTATTTTACTTCAAGTTTTTTTATATACATATTTGAAAAAGTAACATAATACAAGAATTCAATGTATTAAATACATTTAAGTCATTATTATTATTCAGGTTTTTATACCCTACAACACTATGTGTTGGGGGTATTATAAGTTTGATTGGGCCAAAAATTATGTAACACCACGAAATATTGGTTTCCCACAAAGTATATATGGATCTTCCTATCTCACCGAGCTGAGTCGATCTAGCTATGTATGTCCATGTAAATTTGTAATCACTCTACAGGTCGCAATTATGGCCCGATCTTCACGAAATTTAGAATGTAGCTGTGGTTAAGGTCAGAATAGAACCCTATGTCTTTTGGAGATGATCGCATAATATTTAGGGGTTGAAATGGACCAAAAACTGAAATTTCCTGATTTTGCAGTTGCTCTACAGGTCACAATTACAGACCAGTCGAAGCGAAGTTTAGCATGGGGCTAGAGCTTTGGACTGGGCAGAAGCCTTCCAATTTTGATGGTCATCGGGTAATATTTAGTGGTTTAGTAGACCATAGCATTTGCGATAAATAAAAGTAAATTTTTCCATTAATCCGCGAATATTTTTACTCGCCGGCAGTAATCACAAATCACAAATAGACGAACAGGTCAATTCTGACCGTTACGTAGATGCCGATAGTAAAAATATCGGATATATATAGAGAAATATATACAATGTATATATACAAAGGAAGGGGATGTCAGCTAGAATGCTTATATCTTCACAATGGCTGGAGCGATTTTGACGAATTTTGTCAATTGCCCTTGTGGCATTAAAGTATAAATACTACAAAATCGCATAAAAATATACCAATAATGATGTTCATATAGATTTTGTAGTATTTTGAGACATTTTCTTTATTTTTTTCATATTTTTTTTTTCGCATGCGATTTTTTCAAGTTGACTTATAATACAACACAGGTTAGGGTTATTATTTATATACAGATTGCAATTATCGTTCGATCCTCACGAAATTTTTCACAAGGGTTAGGCTCAGAAGGGCAAGGCCTATTGTTTTCAAAGATATATGAACCAAAAACAGAAAAAAAATTCCTGATCACACAATTGAAGCCAATCGACACGCCTGAGAAAAAAGGTAAGCACAGGGAAGAATTCTGGCATTTTGGATGACCATTGGAATATATTTAGCCGTAAAATGGAACACAAAAACTAACAGCACGACGGAGTGCATAAATATTGGGAAAATGTCCCTTGTCAAAATGCTAAGGGTAATATCTGGGCAGTGCTCCGTCACATAATTTCAAAAGCGAAATCTTCCAAAATGGATTTGGACATGAGGGGGCTTCTAACATATTGTAGTGTTGTAGGGTATCACATGGTCGGCCCCTCACGACTTTAGCCTAATGTATTATTTATATTATTAAAAAACTTAACAAAAATCTATAAAATAAATAACGATTCATCTCAATAAAAAATATAAAATTCAGTTAGTAATAAAAAAAATTAAATTGCGTAAAAATAAACAATGAAAAATAAATTTGTACCCAATATGGAAAAAATCCGCCCAAAATCCGCCCAAACCACAAAATTTATCTTTTTTCCGCCCAAATTTGGACGGAAACGCCCAAAACGGCAACACTGGTCACAACTTACCAAAAATGTACGCACGAGCACCCAAAAAAAAGACACCAGAGAAAAAAACAACTGAGAAGAAAAAACAAAAAGATATACATAAATATGAACACTGTCGCTTCAACAACAACAACAACGTACATTTGGTGACAAATGCATACGCTAATGTACGTCGTAGCAGCCACAAGCAAAGACAAAAAGAACACATATGTATGAATAAACACTCACACATTATTTCTCTCCTCATTTTTGCTTGTCGCTGCATATACGTTGTTGTTGCTTGTTTTTTTCATGTATTACCGTTATTTTTGTTTCTTTATTGTAATTTATAGTTTATTTGATAGACAAATCTGATACAATTTGAATATAGCAATAACACATTACTATGTTGAAAAAGTATCAGGGTTTTCTATTAAAACAAATACAAATTACAATCAAATATATTTGTTAATTTCACCAGCTTTTACTTACCTTTATACCAAGCACTATTCTCACGAGCACGTGCACTACACCCTTGCACTATTCGACACCAACTAAAGAAGTGATTGTCTATTTGATCTTTCTTACACATATTCAGACCACAGAAAGAGATTCGAGAAAGAGGAGGAGGGGGAATATGACAGTCACATTCGGTGCAACTTCGTATATTGTAATATTGAACTTCGTCAAACACAAAGCAGTTCAAATTTGTTGACCACAACAGAGCCGAAGGCTCTTTAAATTTTTATGTATCTCTCACATTTTTCCGTCTCTCTCAAAAAACAACAACATTATACAACGTTAATTAAACTATTTATTTTATGTTTGTAATTATTTTGTGTTTGTAATCTCAAACATTTACCATGAAAAAATTAACCATGCACATGGTTAAAAAAGTCATTGTATTTTCGGCTCTGTGTAGTAAAATGGAAAGACTTGTACATTTTTTATTTCAGATATGTGTCATCTCAAATACTCAAGAAACGACTAGGATATGAACACAATTCCACAAAAACATTTTGTTCAAGCTAGAGACCGCGTTACAAATAGAAAACGGCCCGATTGCAGTTCCTGATTTTTTATTTTTTGATTTTTCATTTTTTTATTTAATTTTTTACTATATTTTTACAATCGCATTTATTGATATTACTGTACAAATTATAATCATAAAAGCTGAATTATTATTATTTTAAATAAATATTTATATAAACGTATTCTTTTTTACGGTACATCCGAATATTAAGAAATCACGTACGTGATTCGTAGAAACGTAAACACTCATATAAAACTCATAAATGACTCGAATTTAAGACAAAGGGGATTCATAAAAGACTCCTAAATTAATATACATATGAGTGATATATGACACTTAAAAGACTAATAAATTACTCACTTAAGACTCATAAATGATCAAAAAATGACTTAAAAAGAAGAAGACTCGAAAAAGATTCACAAATTAAGCGTTTTAGCGCAATAAATGAATAGAAAACGACTCGAAAAAGACTCGTAGAACGATCAGAAAATGGTCGAAAAAGACTCTTAACTAATCTAGAGGAAAACTCGTATGTGATTTATTTAGAAGAATCGCGGGAGGTCACGTTTTTCTACCGACAACTGAGTCTTTTATGATCAGAAAATGCGCTCATATTCCAGCTTTTTAATCGCGCAACCGGATCAAAAAAGACTCGAATATGATTAAAAATTTCCAAAAATGCTGACTGGGGCTCAACGGACAAAAAAAATAGTTTTTCAAGTAAATTATTTAAAAATGCATCAGACAAATTCGGTGTATTGGATCTTTTTTAAGCACAACCTCAGTATAACGGTACCTGTCGATTTTAAGTATTTTGGGGCTTTGAGAAGAATTTGCCAGTCAAATTATTATTTAAGCATGTTCTCAGAGTATATAAACCACCGTATAATATTGTCCTCGTATAGGGTAAATCTTGAGATCCAGCACATCACTGATCCCAATTCCGATTTCTGACAAAAATCCTTAATGCATATTTTTTAAAACATAATAATTCACAGATCATGGGCATATTAGTAGATCTAGGATGTACCGCTATATGGTGATAATACCAAAATATATACTTTTGTTGAAATTTTTTTAAGTAACCTAAATACAAATTTTTAGCCAAATCGATTGGAAATGTGTTCACTACCATCGAAATAGTAGAATCAGGACGAACCTATATATTAGAAATCAAGATGCCAAATATTGGGCAAATCAATTTAAAAATGTGGCCAAGACCCTGGAAATAGATAAAATCAGGGTAATTACTCACTATTACGCATAGTTCCCCAAGGAACTATGGTTTCAGAAGAATTTGGAGAGGATATAAATTCTTTTCTTATTAAATTTCCAATTCGTACTACTATTTTGTTTAGTCCGCATATTGTAGTGCCATCATAAAATAATTTTTATATAAAAGTATCTGAATTCAACCGTATTCCACTTTAAACTACAAATACCAGTAAGACCGTTTGGATAATGCTTTTATATTTTTCAAAAAATCAAAAAATGGATGAGGCCGTTACTTGGGGGTCATATCAAAATGGGAACCTCTATAGACAATTTTATACTTCAAGGATTCTAAATACCAAAAACCAAAGTAAAAAAAATACCTAATATCGGCAGGCACCCGTATATGGGGGCTATACAAAATCGTGGACCTATACATACAATGTTGCGCTACCGGAGTTTGATTGGGCCAAAAATTATGTAACACCACGAAATATTGGTTTCCCACAAAGTATATATGGATCTTCCTATCTCACCGAGCTGAGTCGATCTAGCTATGTATGTCCATGTAAATTTGTAATCACTCTACAGGTCGCAATTATGGCCCGATCTTCACGAAATTTAGAATGTAGCTGTGGTTAAGGTCAGAATAGAACCCTATGTCTTTTGGAGATGATCGCATAATATTTAGGGGTTGAAATGGACCAAAAACTGAAATTTCCTGATTTTGCAGTTGCTCTACAGGTCACAATTATAGACCAGTCGAAGCGAAGTTTAGCATGGGGCTAGAGCTTTGGACTGGGCAGAAGCCTTCCAATTTTGATGGTCATCGGGTAATATTTAGTGGTTTAGTAGACCATAGCATTTGCGATAAATAAAAGTAAATTTTTCCATTAATC